ACAATTTTTTTCTTTTTAAAGTACAGATACATGAAAAATGTACTTGAGTACAGCAAGAAAGTACTTGTACTTAGTTACATCCCACCACTGGCTTTTAGCTACTTTAGTTTTCATTTAAACTTTAAATACTTTTAGCTTTTGGCTACTATTCTTCTACGTGTAACTATAGCTAGCTTTGTGAAGCTTTGAGCAACTTGCTAGTTTTTTGCTACTTTAACTATTTGCTGTTTTGAGCTAATGTTCTGCATTTTTTAGTTGGTTTTTTAACTTCTTTAAAGGCCCTGTCACACTAGACAACTTATGAAACATTTGTTATGTCTAAATTGCTAATAAAAGTTATATATTTGATTAATTTGTTTGAATTACATTATGTACATTCAGAAAAGAAGCTCCCTGTTGATTTTTTTCAATTCCATCTTCAACGTAGACGTCTTTAAAATGTTCACAAGTTGACATAAGTTGTCTAGTGTGACAGGGCCTTTAGCTTTGAGCTATCAGTATGCTACTTTTGGCTTTTTTTATACCTTGAGCATTTAGCTAGCCTTTTACTACTTCAACCATTTTCTGATTCGAGCTAACCTTTTGCTTCTATTAGGTTACACTTTGCTTCTTTTAGCTTTTAATTACTGTTTAGCCCATTAGCTTGTAGCTAGTGTTAGGCTTCTTTTTATCTCTTAACAGCTGCATTACAGGATCTGCAGCATGTTTCAGCAGTCAGTTATCATTTAGCTGCGTTGCCTCTAGTTAAGGCAGCTGTGATTTGGTTTTTCAGGTTCTTCGTCCTGAACAATGAGGCGGGGCTGTTGGAGTATTTCGTCAACGAGCAGTCGCGTCCACAGAAGCCCCGCGGCATGCTCCCCCTGGCCGGCGCTGTCATCTCCCCCAGTGACGAAGACTCGCATACCTTCACGGTGAACGCTATCAGCGGCGAGCAGTACAAGCTCCGAGGTGAGAGTCCTGTTTAACAGACTGCAGTGAGTAGATTTAGATCCTTTACAGTGCATCGGATCAGCTGGTCGGCTGCTTTTTTAGCTTCAGGGGCCTCCATCATCATCGTCATCAGTCTTGTTCCGACAGTATTGATCCCCGTCCCATTATCTAATGCTGGTGAAGCAGGAGCTCACAGGGATCGATGCTGAGTGGGATCATCCTCGAGTGTCTGTAATAAGATTTTTCTTTTTGTCTCTTTAGCCACCGATGCCAAGGAGAGGCAGCACTGGGTGAGCAGACTGCAGATCTGCACACAGCACCACACAGAGGCCATGGGGAAGGTAAGAGGTGTCGTCCCCACCACACACACACACACACACACACACACACACACACACACACACACACACACACACAC